CTGAGCCATCTCTCCAGCCCCCTAGATGGGCCTTTTGACCATCCTATTTGAAAGAGGAGAAACTTGCGACTCCTAGAGAGAGTCTCAGTTGGTACTGAGCCCACAGCAGGCTCTTCCTCCTAGGAGCTCAGCTAAACATCTGTCTCAGGAAGGCCTGCAGCCCACACTTGGGACGGGGTTAGGGGAGGTGGGTCAGAGCTCCCAGAATCCTCATGTGACTTTCCCAGGCACCCACCTCTCTGTGCCCCTGGGCGTCCAAGAAGAGACCTGCTCTTCTAGGGCTGTCGCTTTCTCTAGTCCCAATTCCCTCCTGTTTCAAATGTCTTCAGGAAGACATTTATTTTGCTGAGATTTTCCTGGGTGGGGTGGGGGCTTGGGCTGTTCTACTCAGCAGTCCCCAACTTCCTCTGTTTTTTTTTTTTTTTTTTTTAAGACAGGGTCTTACTATGTAACCCAACCTGAACTTGAGCTCCCTGCGTAGCCCAGGCTGTCCTCAAAGCCACCACCTGTGTGATGTGGTGTGTGGGCAGCGGCTATGTTTCATGCCGAGTGTAAAGGGGAGCTGTGGGGGGAGTCTGAGCAGGGAAGGCTCATTATGTGATTTGGGGAAGACTGCTTCAGCTTCTCTGTGCAGAATGGGCTGCTGAGGGGTGGTGAGGATACTGGCGCAGGTCAGGGCAAGAGGGATGGAGAAGAATGGATGCGTGAGAGAGGTGCCTAGGACAGACCAGGCTGGAAATGGCGCTGGTTCAGGTGCAGGGGCTGGGTGTGGTCGGAGCCCCAACCTATAATTCCAACCTCAGTTCTTGGGAGACCGAGGCACGAGGATCACAAGTTGGAGCCCAGCCCGGGTGACATAGTGACTTAGTGAGACCCTGTCTCAAACTTAAAAAAAAAAAAGCCTGCAATTCAATCTGCAGTACTGGAAGGAAAAATAAAACAGTCAGAAAGCAAGCCCCTGCACTTAGGCTCCTGTCTGCATCCGGGGCTCTGCCCGTTGACCTCTCTCTTGAGAGAGGCCCCTGACAACTGTTCTCCAGCCCCTTACCCCCTGACTGCTCTAACAGGTGACCGCAGACCAGGCGTCTTCCCACAACTAACGTTTCTTCTCTCTCAGCTCTGGAGGCCAGAAATCCACGCTCCCTCTGAGGGCTCCAGGGGACTCGCACTGCTGCCTCTTTTCGCTTCGGTGGCCCCCTGCCTCCCATTACACGGCCCCTGCCTCCTGTTCACCGGGCTTTCTCCTTTCCTGTGTGACAGTTTCCTCCTGCCCCCCCCCTCCACTGAGCCATCTCCTGGCCCCATCTCTCTCTCTGTCTTTCTCCTCTCTTTCCGTTTATTTATTTATTTATACGTTCTTTCTCTTTCTTTCATACAAAGGATTAAATCCAGAGCTTTTACACAGAGCTACATCCCCAGCCCTTACATTTATTTATTTAGCTTTTTTTTTTTTTTTTTTTTTTTCTGAGCCGGGGATTGAACTCAGGCCCTTGCACTTGCCAGGCAAGCACTTCTTCAACTGAGCTATCTCCGCTGCCCCTTATTTAGCATTTTTGAGACAAGGTCTCTCTATGTACTTCAGGCTGGCCTTGAACTTGTGGCAATCCTCTTCTCTCACACCCTCTCAATGCCAGGATTATGGGCACCCACCAATTATTTTTATTTTTTAACTTTAAGACAGAGTCTCACTAAACTGCGGAATTGCCCAGGCTGGCAATCCTCCTGTCTCTGAGCACTGAGATCGCACACATGTGCACCTGCAGCCCGCTACTTTCTTACGAGGATGCTTGTGGCTTCACTCCCACCAGGACGCTAAGAACTCAGGGCCCACATCTGCAGAGGCTTTGCCCTTTGTACAGCACAGCATGTGCAGACCAGGGAATGGGGTCTTCCTGGGGACCTCAGCCCCAGTGCCACTCTCTGCTCTGCCACATACTTTAGATCAGGTTCTGTCACGGCTGTTCAGTGATCCTCCCTCCCTGGACAGCCTGGCTCCTGCCTGTCCCCAGAGCCTAGACTGAGTCACACGTAGCTGGATTTAGAAAGTATTTGCTAACTGAGGGCTGAAGAAATGCAGGCGGGGCTTTCCTGAGGGTGTGTCAGGTGTGCTCAGAGCTGGGTCACCAGGGTGCAGCTTCTCCAGCATCCTAGAAGGAATTGCTTGCTGCTGCCCAGTTGTACAAGATGGAAGTCCTCAGGGCCACTCGTGTGAAGGCGGCACCTGGAGCCAGCCAGAAGCAGCAGCCAGGGGACCATCTGCAGCCTCAGTTCAGAGGCTCTGCCTGTGACTTGGGCCTTGGAGGGCCTCAAGCTTTTGGTTTTTGAGGCTGCTTAGTCACTGCCCTTGTGCGAATCGAATCGCAGGAACTTGTAAAGGGAGTGTCACCCACTGCAGCTGGTCTCGACTTACTTCTTTTTTGGAGGGAGATTTGCTGAATAGTTCGGGCTGGCCTTGAACTCACTATGTAGGCTGGCCCCTAACTCCTGCCGATCCTCCTGCCTCAGGCTCTCTAGGAGCTGGGATGGCAGGTGTAAATCATCACACTTGGCTAAAAGGAGGATCACTTGGAATTGGGGGCCAGCCTGGGCTACTTAGTGAGTTCAAGGCCAGCTCCACTACATAGCAAGGCCCTGCCTCAAAAGAAGGGGGGTGAGTAGTTTAGGGATGTAGCTCAGTGCAAGCGTCTTGAGTTCATTCCCAGGTACCACACATATGAAGAAAGAATGAAAATCCCACACATGCTTAAATGTAGATGGAAAAAAACCATGGTTGAACTTTGAAGATATGATGCTAAAAAGCAAATCACAGAAAGATAAATGTGTGAGTTTCTTGACTTTCTTTTTTTCTGTTCTTTGAAACAAGGTCTTGCTCTGCAGTTCAGGCTGCCCTTGAACTCACAGCAATCCTCCTACCTTAGCTTCCCAAGTTCTGGGATGACAGGTGTGTGCCATGCCTGGCCCCGTTTTATATTTTAACTTTGAGACAGGGTCTTGGTAAATTGTTAAATTGCTAAAGGTCTATTGAATGGATATATCTCATTTTGCTAATCCATTCACCTGTCAGTAGATATGTGGGTTACTTCTACCTCTTGGCTTGCTACATAGCTCAGACTCATAGTGATCCTCTTGTCTCCACCTCCCCAGAGCTGGGATTACAGGTGTGCGCCACCACACTGGGTTTCAGTGGCCGGCGTGGCATGCGGTACCAGGGACTGAACTCGGCTTCTTGCACTTGCCAGGCAGGTGCTCAGACCACTGAACTCGTACAAACATTTCTTTGAGATCTCTTTACTTTTGGAGGGTACATATGCAAAGGTAGAGCTGTTGGGTCATATGATAATTCCATGTTAATTTTTTGTTTTGTTTTGTTTTGTTTTCTTAGATAGAGTCTCACTAAGTTGTCCAGGCTGACTTCAAACATGTGATCCTCCTGCCTCAGCCTCCCAAGTACTGCAATTCCAGGCCTGTACCACTATGCCTGGCCTTTGTGCTTTTTTTTCTTTTGTATTTTAGGACAGGGTCTGCAGGGTCTCACTGTGTAGATTGGACTCATTGTGATCCTCCTGTTTATAGCCTCCCAAGTGCTGGGATTACAGGCGCACCACCATGCCTAGTCTCAGCTGTTGTCTTAGTGCGCCCCAGGGGTGGGGCCTACATGGCAGGCCCATCGAACTCCCAGTCCCTGCTCTTTGTGCTTAATGTTTAAAGGAATAGCCAAATGTTTCCCGCAGCCATGGTACCATTTTATCTCCCCATTGATGCAATACAGAGCTGCCAATTTCTTCACATCCTCACCAAAACTTTTTCCTCCCTGTTCTTGGGATGGAACTCAGGGCCTTGCACAGAGTAGGCAAGTGCTCTGTCACTGAACTATACATCCCTGTTCTTTTAATTTTTTATTTTGAAAAAATAATTTTATTTTGAGACAGGGTCTTGCTATATCACCCATGCTGGGCTTGTACTGGTGGTCCTCCTGCTTTAGCCTCTGAGGGGTTGGGGATGACAGGTCTGTGCACTCTTTTTGTTTAGTTTTAAACAGTGGCCATCCTGGTGAGTGTTCATGGAGTCTGTGTTATAGTTAGAGCATCCAGCCCACCTGGGCCCTCTGAACTTGGTGGTGATCTCTGAATTTGCCAAGGGAAATTTTGCTTCTGCCTGGATAATGTGGTTTGGCATTGACTGGAGGAAGATGCAGTGAATCCAGACCTTTAGCGGAGGGCAGAATCATGGGATGGATGGTACTGTGGACTCAGGAGAAGACTGGAAGGCAGGGATTCTTGTGTCTGTGTTGCCAAGGAGATAGGAGCACGGGGGACCCTTGACTAGTATGGTTGGGTAACTGAGAGAGAAGAGGGTAGGACCCAGATTTAGGAATCTTCTCAGGGGCTGGGCGTAGTGGCACACAACAGTAATCCTAGCACTCAAAAGGCAGGAGGATGCCTTTGAATCTGAACTCAGCCAAGGATACGTGGTGATTCCTTGTTTCAAACAAACAAACAAACAAACAAACAAACAAATAAACAAAGAATCTCCTTGGGATTACCTGGGAATCAACAGCCTCCAAAGTGAGCGTGACAGGACTGAGGTCAGGCCCTTGGTGGGGACTCAGGGACCCTTGCCAGCTTCCAACTCCTCTGAATGGAGAGACTGAGTCTGGCAGCATGTAGGACCTGCTTGTGGGGACTGGGGTGACTTTCCTGGGAATGAGGGTTTCATGGCTTGATTCGTGGTGAGCAGCACGCTGAACACTTTGCTCTGCCCTGCTGGCTGTGTTTTGTTTTGTCTTTTGATACGAGGTCTCACTACATAGCTTGGACTCAGAGTGATCGGCTTGTCTCAGCCTCCCCAGCACTGGGATTACAGGCACGAGCCACCATGCCTTGTTTCAGGCTGGTGCGGTGCACCCAGAATGTAGTACTGGGGATTGAACTCAGGACCTTGTGTGTGCCAGGCAGGCCTTGCTTGCTGCCTTATTTATGGTACTGTCTCTGTTCTTTTAGGAGCTGACTCTCAAAGAAGGATTTGGATGCTGGAAACTTGTTTGAGAAGCGATTGCAGAAAGTACCAGTAAGGACGAAGGAACTTGGAAGGACTGAGAACAGGTAGTCAGACCAATAGGGGTGTGCACGATTTCAGAGTAGCATATTTCACAGCAGCCCAAAGGCAGGGAAGGCCCACATGGCCATTGACAGAGGAATGGATCAGCAGAAATGTGGCCTAGCCATGCTATGGAATATTACTTAACACCAGAAGTAACAAAGCTCTGATATTTACCAAAGCCTGGGTGAAGCTTGTGAACAGCAGGCTGAGTCAAAGAAGCTGGGCTCCACAGGCCTGGCAGGGCATGACCGGTGCACGAAATGCCTGGAATAGTTACACCCACAGGTCCAGAAAGGAATCAGTGTTTTCCAGAGGCTCTGGGGAGGAAGAATGGGGTGTGAAAAATTGAGGCCAGCCTTGGTTGCACAGTGAGTTCAAGGCCAGCTTGAACTACATAGGCAGACTCTGCCTCAAAGAGCCAATACTGAAAAACAAAGCAAAATGAAACAAAACAAAATCTGGGACAAAGCAAAAATGAGCTGAGTGCAGTGGTGTGAGCCCAGCGACTCAGGAGGTTGAGTCAGGAGAATCCCAAGCTCCAAGCCAGCCGGGAAGGTCAGTGAGATGCAGTCTAGCAGTACAATTCTCTTTTTAAAGGCCTGGGGGTGTGACTCAAGGGGAAAGTGCACCTGGGCTCAGTCCCTTAACAATAAAGAGGTTGCAGACATCTCAGCTGAGGGTGCAGCGTGGGTCTCATGCATCCGTGCAGCCAGCTGGCTGAGGCCCAGGATGTGTCTGTCACTGGCACCTCCCATGTCAGGCCCACTCTGCTGGACCCCATGGTCCTCTGGGGTTTAGTGCACAAATGGCTGGGGAGCAGGCCTCCCCAGCACTGACGCCCTCCCCACCACATCCCCTAGGATGCTGCCCATCACAGATCACCTGCTGGACCTCCTGGGGCTGGAAAAGACAGCCTTCCGCACCTACGCAGTGTCTGCGCTCCTCCTCTCCCTGCTCTTCTCCTTCTTCCGCCTGCTGCTGCAGTTTGTGCAAATCTGCTGGGCCTTCTACACCACCTGTCGCCGCCTGCGCTGCTTCCGCCAGCCACCGAGGAAAAACTGGCTCATGGGTCACCTGGGCATGGTGAGTGTGGTGGGCAGCCGTGCAGGCACTGGGGCTGCAGTGGATGGAGCTGCTGGCATCCAAGAACCTGCTTGAGGTCACGCGTGGAGGTCACGTTGTGGTGGTTTTTTTTTAGAGCCAGAGTCTCAGTTTGTAGTTCAGGCTGACCTGAACTCATGGAGAACTTCTGGCCTCAGCCTCCTGAGTTCTGAGATTAAAGGTGTGTGCCACCACACCTGGCTGCATTTCAGCTTTTAAATAGTTTTTGTTAATATATGTTTGCAATGTATAATAATGACATCCCTCTTGGGAATTTAGATCTATATGTATTACATCTCGATCATCATTACTGTTTCCCTCCCCCCTCTTCTTCCTTTCCCAGGTCCCCTTCCCATGTCTTTTGTTTTGGTATTAAGGCAGGGTCTCACTATGTCGTCCAGGCTGGTCTTGAACTCACTATGTAGCCCAGGGTGGCCTTGAGTTTATAGTGATCTTCCTGCCTCAGCTTCCTGAATGCTAGGATTGCAGGCATGTGCCACCACACCCAGTTACATTACATTTTTTAAAATTTATGCATAGGTGCCACTTAGGATTCCAGGCAAATATTAACTCCTCCTATCCTCTCAACAATTCTGGGAATTAAGGGTCATGACTGTCTCCACTGTGGACCTGAGAATACAAAGGCACAGAGAGGTCAAGTTCAACAAGAGGTCGTTGGCCACACAGCCTGTAAGCGGCTGAGCTGGAGTTCAAGCCCAGGCTGTCTCCCCAACTCCTCTTAGCTGTACCCTCTGCCACTTTGAGCTTTTAGACTGGACATGTGGGATTTCCCCAAAAGGCATCCAGATGTCAGAGTCAAATACAGATGTTGGGGCTGGTGAGATGGCTCAGTGGTCTAAAACACCTACTTAGAACAAGCTTAGCAAAGCACAGGGACCACGGTTCAATCCCCAGCACCACATGCCAGCCAGTCGCGCCCCCTGGTGGGCTGAGCTGGCCACCCCCCCACACACAAATAAATAAACAAATAAATAATTAAAAAAAAAAAAAAAAAAAAACAAAAAAAACCAAAAACAAATACAGATGTTGAGGCAGGGAGGCTTGGTGAAACGGAATGCCAGCCCCTGCTGCCTGCTGGTCTCACCTGGCCCCTTCCAGGCCTTAGTGAAATTCAGGGACAGTTGCTAAAGGCTTTACTGGCCCAGCTCTCTTGCTGAGCTTTGAGGCAGCCTTTGGAGAAGCAGATGGGGGCAGTGGTCATCCGCTTATGTTTTGGAGCCCTGGGTTTGAGTTCTGCCTCTATCATGAACTGCTTATGTGACTTTCAGGTAATGGGGGAATCCAGAGACTCTGCTTTTAGGATCCCGAGTGCTTTTAAGATTTTGAGGCAAGGTCTTGCCAAGTTGCTGAGTTGCCCAGGTTGGTCTGTTCCACCTTGCCTCCCCTGCTTTGTGTGACTCCAAGCAAGCTATTAACCTCACCGGGCCTCAGTCTTTCCTCTAGTCTGTAATGTATTCTTGATGATCTCTTGAGAATGCTATAATAGTTCTTGATAGCCTCATGGGCTGTTCTTTTGGATTCCTTGGAGTCCTGGTTGTCACATGTTTGGCACTGACTGAGCCTGATATACAGGTAGAGGACAGGTATACGCAGAAACCAGGAGGATTGGAGGATTCAAGAAATATTTTAAGTAGTACTAGCTTGGGTTGAATATCTTAGAAGGAATAAGGCATGGGTTTCCACTGACTAGCTCAGAGATCCTTTTGTTTTTGTGTTGCTAGGGATGGAAACCAGAGCCTCTTGCATGCTAGACAATGGCTCTCCCACTGAGCTCTATGCCAGTCATGAATGGAACTTAACATCCTGAGATTTCGGTTATCCACGAGGCTCTGGATACTGAGGGATGCCTGTGGCAGACTGGGCGGCTTAGGCAACAGAAATATGTTTCCTTCCAATTCTGGGAGCTGGATGTCTAGGACCAACCTGCAGGGTTGAGTTCTTCTAGGTGCCACGACCCTCCCTGGCTCTCCACTGCCATCCAGAGAATGGTTGGTATTCATGACCCTCTATTCCCTGACCCTTTCCTTCCTCACCAGTGTGGCCGCCCTTGCCCAGTTCCAAAGGTTGGCTTCCTATTTCAGCAACAGGGCTCCAACTTGCCCCATTTCTGGGTGCCTTTTCCAAACTGTGTCTTCTGTCCAGAACTTTTCTGGAACATTCTTCCCTGGTAGATTACTGTCTCCTCAGTTTTCATGCCTCATCTCTAGGGTCCTTACTCCTGGGAGCTCTTGCTGGCTTCAATGGTGGTATTAGGAGCAGCTCCCAGTCTCCACTGCCCTGGGCAGTTGGATCTTCCTGCAGCTCAGTGTTGACACTGTGGGTGCAGCCCATCCTCTGATCCCAGGAGGTCTGGGTGAGGCCATAATTTTCCTTGGGTGTGGGCAGGCTTAGGGCTACCCCTGGAGAGGAGACAAGAGGAGACTTGTTCATTCATTCATGGAATAATTGCTGGGTCTTCCTCCTGGCCAGGCACTGGGTTAGGCCCCTTTGTGTTGGAGCCCTCCTTTTGTGAAATACCTATGGAGGCTGGGTGTGGTGGTGTTGGCCTGTGATCCCCAAAACTCTGGGAGATTGAGGCAGAAAGATGGCAAGTTGAAGCCCAAACTCAACAACTGAGTAAGAACCCATCTCAAAAAAATTAAAACATTAAAAATGCTGGAGACGGTGGGCCTGGAGGCATCACCCAATGGGAAGGGTCTGGGTTCAATCTCCAGCACCTCCCCTTCCCCCAAGATGGATCTACCCTATTTTATGGATTCCCTTTTAAGGATTTGAGCTCAGACAGAATAAGTAAGTTGCCTACATTTTCAAGGCTGCTGAAGGTGACTTTGAACTCAGATTCCTCTGACACGAAAGCTGTTTCCACACCTCAGCCGCATCCAGGGTGCTGGTGGAGAACATGCGTTTTGGAACGGTGGGTATGTGTTTGGATCCTGGCTTTGCCACTGTGGTGCTGGGTGCCTGGGCCTGCCCACACCTTCTTGACCCGTTTCTGGGTGCAGTGATAACACTGCTGGCTATGACGGCCCCATTTCTAGCTTCGATTCCTCCCTACTTTCTGGCTACCAGTGTCTGTGTTCTAGCAGCTTTCCAGAGTTTAGGATTTCAACCTCCCTGGGAAGCCCTTGGCCAATGATTGGGGATTGGTGGATAAATACCTAGCATCCTCCCTCTCAGGGGACTAACTCAGAGGTCCAGTGTCCTGCCCATCCTCCAAAACTCCCCCATGGGCCTGAGCACGGGGGTCCCATAGTGCTGCCATCTACCACTTAGCCTTTCCTGGATGCCTTCCCTTCTGTCCCTATTCATGTTTTGGGAACCATGTCCTCAATAAACCACCTGCCCTAGCAGCCTTGCCTCAGGACCTGCTTCTGAGGGACCCCAAACAAGCACAGTTACTCACTCACAACTTTGAGTGAATTGTTTGACCTTTCTGAGCACAAAGAAGCAGAGAGTGCATCGGGAGCACGTGGAGCAGGCTGGCCTACAGGAAGTTCCTGTGCTGTTCACAGCCAGAGTGAGCTCATGCAGGGCACAGCACTAGCTCTCGATGGAGTTGTGCTGGGGGTGCAGCCCAGGGCCTCCTGCATGCTGGGCAAGCACTCTCAGGGTGGAACATAGTGCCAGCACTTATTTTTTTATTTTTGAGATGGAGCCTCCTGTGTTGCCAAGGCTGGTCTTGAATTTATGATCTCCCTGACTCCCAAATGTCTGGTGTTATAGGCAGGTACCACCAAGCTCCACTGACACTTATTTTGTTTGAGACAGAATCACACTATAGAGATTAGGCTGGCCTTGAACTCACTGTGCTGCCCACCCTGGCCTCAAACTCACTGCTATCTTCCTGCCTCAGCGTGTCCGAGTGCTGGGATTGCAGGAGCGCATCACTAGGCCTGACATACAGGGTCTTTTTTTTTTTTTTTTGTACTTGGAATCAAACCGGACCTTGCACTTGCCAGGCAGGTGCTGTGCCACTGAACTATATCCCAGCCCCTGATGTCTACTTTTTAAATAGCAAGTATTCAGTAAATACTGGCCTTTGTCATTATTGAGTTTCCTATTACTATTGTGTGTATGTGCGGGCGCATGCGTGTTGCTTAGGATGGAGCCCAGGGCCCTGGCAGGCACTCTGCCCCTGAGCTACACTCCCAGGTACCCACCCCTTTGTCTTCTTTATGTGACAGGATCCTGCAGTGTTGTCTGGGCTGGCTGAAGTGGCCCTCCTGCTTCAGCTTCCAGGTAGCTGGAATTGTAGGCATGAGCCACCAGGTCCGGCTTGTCTTTCTTTCCTGAACTGGCCATGTGTCACGCCCACGCTGGGCTCCTGCTCTCTCCATTACTCCCCTGGGCTGCTCCCCAAGGGAGCACTGGCTGTCCCCCACTTCTCAGAGGAGGTGGTGGGGGCCCAGAGAGGTGCAGCCAGCAATCCACATTCATTTCTCAGATTGTTTTGAGCTGAGGGGAGGTGGCAGGAAGGGGGGACAGATGGAAGCTGGCCAGGCACGTTGTCATGGTCCCTGCCTTCTCTCCACAGTACCTTCCGAATGAGAAGGGTCTTCAAGATGAGAAGAAGGTGCTGGACACCATGCATGACGTGCTCCTGGTGTGGGCTGGGCCTGTCCTGCCGCTATTGGTCCTGGTGCACCCTGATTATATCAAGCCTGTTTTGAGCGCCTCAGGTAGGTGAGCTGAGCCTCTGAGAGTGACTATACCCTCAAGTCCCATGCTCTGTCAGAGATTCTAGATAGACAGGCTCTCCAGAAGAAGGGACATTTGAGTAGGGCTTTGGGGAACAAGTAGGAGTTCACCAAAGCAGGAATGGCAGTACACATTATGGGAATGTGGACAAAAGTGTGGCAGTGCCTAAGAGACCCATGAACACTGAGGGATTATCCACCTACGTGGAAGTCAGCCAAACCTATTTGGGTAGGCAGTTGTTCACTGGAGGTTTTGTTAGGTAGTTGTTGCTCAATCCCAGATCACGGCATTCCTGTTCTTTGGGTTGTGGTATTTCTGCCCTGACCAGGGATCTTGGTGGCTCACCCTGCTGGCTGCTGAGATGCTTCCTGCCTGGCCTGGAAGGAGATGTGGAAGGATTGTTGCTCTTTTCTGCAGTCCACGCCTGTCCCAAGGTGTGGCAGTCCCCAGGGTGTGCTTGGCAAACTCTTACTCATCCTGCAACACCCAGCGCCAATGAGCCCTTCTCCAGGGAGCCTTGCGGGATTGTGTGAGAACATGGCTCTGGACATTCCCATCCTCAGAGCGAGCCTTTTGGGGCTGGGTGCGTCTGTGTCCCTCTCTGTCTCCCTTGCTCATGGGGCTCTGGACCCTGGAATGGCCTTGATGGAGCTGACAGCCTCAGAGGCTCAGGTTAGTCCAGAGAGTGGAGGGGTAGAGAAAGAAAAGACGCCAGGAATTTTAGTGTGTCTGGCCCAGCTTGGGCCTCTGCAAACTCGTGTCTGGAGACCGCCTGGCTGGGTGTCCCCTCTGTACCCCATCATTGCATTTTGTTTGAGACAAGGTCCGGCTTTGTGGCTCAGATTGGCCTTGAACTCGTGGTGATCCTCCTGCCTCAGCCTCCAGAGTGCTGAGATTACAGTCCAGTGCCACCATGTCTGGTTATGTAGCCTCTTAGTTTCTGCTGTGAAGGATTGGAGCTATTATGAAGGATAAATAACATAAAGTGCATCCTGGGGTCTGGCTAATGGTTGAGGATTTACCCTGCACGGACATGACCCAGCTTGATCCCCAGTACCAGAATAAAATAATATAATATGTACAAAAATAAGGCCACTTCCTCTTCTTCTTCCTCCTCCTTCTTCCTGGCAGAACTGTGAATTGAACCTGGGACCTTTGCACTGAGTTGCATCCCATCCCTTTTTATTTTTTTTTATTTTGAGATACAGTCTCTTGAAGTTACTCAGTTGCCCAGGCTGGGTTCAAACTTGTGATCCTCCTGCTTCAGCAGCCCAAAGTGCTGGCATGACAGGTGAACGCCACAGCACCTGTCTCCTTTCCCCTCTGTTTCTCTTCATTTTCTTCCTCATTCCTTTTAATCCTCCTCCTCCTCCTCCTTTTCCTCTGCTTCCTCCTCCTCCTCTTCCTCCTCCTTCTCCTCTTTCTCCTTCTTTTCTTCTTCTTTCTCTTCTTCCTCCTCCTCCTCTTCCTCCCCCTCCTTCTCTTTCTCCTCTTCTTCCTCCTCCATCCTCTCTTCTTCTTTTTCTTCCTCCTACTCCTCTTCCTCCCCCTCCTGTCCTCCTCTTCTGCCTCCTCCTCTCTTCTTCTTCTTCCTCCTCCTCCTCTTCCTCCCTTCCTCCTTTTCCTCCTCCTCCTCTCCTCCTATTTTTCCTCGTCCTTCTCCTCCTCCTCTCCTTCCTCCTCCTCCTTCTCCTTTTTTTTCTTCTTCCTCCTCCTCTTCCTCCCTCTCCTCCTCCTCTTCCTCCTTCTCTCCTCCTCTCCTCCTCGCACCTTGTGCCAGTTTCCTGAGCTCTGTCCCGCCTGGTATGAGTCTCCAAGCAGCTTCCCTGCATGGTGGAGGCCTGGCACGCAGCGCACGCTCAGGCTTTGCGCTTCCCTTACCTCCTCAGGGCCTCTCCTACCGGAAGAGCTGGATGGGGAGCTCTGGCAAGGGGCGGGTGGGGCTCTGAGTCAGTGCCTCCTCCAGGGCTGCTGCCTGTGACTGCAGTCGGACTGGCTGGGCTGCAGGTCACAGCCTCCACCCTGGTGGGGCCTCCCAGGGCCACACCTGTGTGACTGTGGCTCTAGACCTACAGGCCCGCTGGAAGGCAGGGGGCCTCCTGGAACCTCTGCCTTGTCTCTGATTGACATTCAGAAGAAAATAGGCCAAAGCTTCATGGGGTGGGGTCATGGCTTGTAAGCCTAGAATTACGGCTTGGGTTTTATGTGCTCTTTTTATTAATGAGAAATTCCCATTGCGTACAATTCATCATTTGAAATGAGCATCCGCTGGTAATTGGGGACATTCACGACGTTGTGCAACCTCCAAACTTTCTCTAGTTTCAAACTTTGTTTTAACCACCTCATAAAATGTCCCTCTGTGTCTGCCCCGCCCCTTTCCTGGTCACCTGCTTTCTGTCTCTACAGTGCTGTGCGCTGGACGCTGTTAGCCGCGGCTGGCTGTCAGCACGCGGCCTTCCGCGTCTGGCTTCTCGGGCTGGCACTGTGCTCTCCCAGCTCCCCTGCGCTAAGGGTCAGTGCTGTTCCTTTCCCAGCAGAGGGTCCGTGCATCGCAGGGAGGGACGACAGCTTGCGTGTCCGCTTATCCACTGCTTCCGCCTCTCCTTCAGCTGCTGTGAACAACGCTACTGTGAACATTCATGCATAAGTTTTGGTGTGGACCTAGTTTTCTTTCTTTCTATTTTTTCATAATTTTATTGATAAACAAATAGCAATGAGACAGTTTCAAATCAAATCGCTAGGACAGTTTCAATAACACACTGCATACATTCTTCTTAGTGGTTAATTGCTGTACAAGATGCAGACTTGAGATCCTATTTACAAACACCAGTAGAACATACCATTCTATTCATTAACAGAATGTAACTATATATCTATCCTAACCACTTTGAATACACAGATACAAAATGGACATTCATCTGTATACCCTTTTTTTGTTAAGTTCCGTTATTTGAATATTATAGGTGTGTAAACTCAGCAAAATATTCTAAAAGAGTCCAGTAGCCCATAATAGCATTGGGTCTTCTGTTGTCAGAAATTGTTGACCTGAGTCCCCCACAGCTCAACATAACAGCATGGCTTTCCTTCCTATATTTCATCTTCATACTTTTCTACTGGATGGTTAAGACCAAGGTAAAGCATAGACCTAGTTTTCTCTCCCCCCCCATTTTTCTTTGTTCTCTCTCTTGATTTTTTTGAAACAGTATCTTGCTATGTCATTCAGGCTTTGCTTTTGAACTCACTATGTAGCCCAGGCTGGCCTCTGATTTTCTTTGATTCTTCTGCCTCAGCCTCCCAAGTGCTGGGCTCACAGGTGTGTGCCAACATACCTGCTTTGCCCTTTGCTTTGCTTTGCTTTGCTTCCTTTCCCTTTGCTCCCTCCCTCCCTCCCTCCTTCCCTCCCATCCTCCCTTCCTTTGATGGCTGGAATTAGAACCCAGAACCTCCTGCATACTAGGCAAGCACTCTACCACTGAGTTGCACCCCCAGGCCTTATGATGGAATTGATGGGTTGCATGATTTGTACACAACTCATCAAATAATATATTTATTTATTTTGGTGATGAGGATAGGAACCAGGGCTTTGTGTGTTTAGCATGTACTCTACCACTGAGTTATATTTGCAGCCTTATTTCAGACTTTTTTTTGAGACTACACCTTGTTAAGTCACTAAGTTGCCCAGGCTGAGCTCAAACTTGATATCCTTCTGCCTCAGCCTCCCAGGATGCAAGGATAACTGGCGTGTGGCACAACACCCAGCTTCTATTTGGCCTTTTTTTTTTTTTTTTTTTTTTTCTACTGGGGATTGAATGGAATCAAACTTGGGGCCCTTGAGCTTTCCAGGCAACTGCTTATGCTGCTGAGCTATCTACCTGGCTCTCTATTGGAGTTTTCTAACGAATCTTCTACAACAGCTAAGCATTCACTTACCACTAATAGGCAACCTGGATATTCCTCTCACAACTTTCGGTGCCAATAAGAAATGATTATAATTACAGTAACAAAAGAGCCAACAGTGTCATGTATCCATTTATGGAAACATGGACTTAATGAGTATCTACCATGGGCCAGGAATATGTGCTTGCAAGTCTTATAGGGGCCATCACAAGAGGCAGGATTATTCTATTTCCCCTTTTTCTGGCAGATGAAGAACAGGTGCCCGGGGTGGTGGCTCACACCTGTAACCCCAGCCCTCGGGAGGCTGAGGCAGGAAGATGGTTTCAAGTTAGAGACCAGTCTCGGCTACAAAGAGCGCAAGGCCAGCCTGAGCTGCATAGTGAGACCCTGTCTCAAAAAGAAAAAGGAAAGTAGGGAGGTAACTCATCTAAGTTTGTATCACTATTTAGGGGTTGAACTGGGGATGGATGCCTGACCAAACTCTCAGCCATAGTGATATGCAACTCTGAGGGGAACAGAGGTGTAAGTGATGCACCATGTGGGGGCTTTTCTGGTACCATCTTTGATTGCGATGCTAGCCCCTTTCCCTGGAAGATAATGAAAAAAGAGGCAGCCTGGACACTCTGGAAACTCCTGTGAGTTTCCTGGAAGTAAGAATCAGTAGTAGGGTGGAGGAAGGAGAGATCTGAGGATGGGGGAAAAAAGCTTTGGCTGGGGAGAGGGCTCAGAGCCTACTTCCTGGAGGTTGCTTCAGTGAAGCTGAGCTTTTAAGGATGTGTAGGAGTTTGCCAGGTGGAAAGGTCCTATCAGTCCAAAGGTGCAGATGAGGGAAAGTATCAAGGGAATTACTGGCCTGGGTTGGCTGGAGTGGAGGAAATATGTGTGTGGAAGCAGGAAATGAGGCGGAGAGGTAAGTAGGTGCTAGACTGAAAAGCAACTGACTTTGTACGTTATCCTGGAAGTGATAGGGAGCCATGGGAGGTGTTGGAGCAGGGCGGCTCTTGATCGGATCTGTATCTCAGAAAGACTCCCGAAACTTGCTTGGAGTTCAAAGCCTAGAGACTAGAGGAATGACTATTCTCACCTTACTCTCTGGGTTTGCCCTTTCTAGAAGCCTCTTCTGATGTCCAGCAGTCCTTTCTCAAAACTCTGAGCAGCTGGCACACTTTCTCCCTCCTTGATGATTGTGTGGTGTGTCAGTGCTTCTTTTTCCCACCCCACCCCACCCAGGAGTTCCTCCAAGCAGGGTGTGGAATGGAGCTGTCTTTGGGTCTGAGCATCACTGAGCATGGGCTGGGCGCAGGAAGAAGGGCTGCCTTGAATGGGAGGATGTAGGATGGCTGACTGGGCAGGTGACTGGGCACATCATTGGCCAATTTCTGGGATGAATGTGGAGGCAGCTGGATCACATTCAGGCATCAGTGATATCATTCAGGTGTCAGATATGCCCCCATTGAGACCCGAAGCTATTCAGTGTATTGAGATCCATCTCCCCATCTACTCACCCATCCACCTATGCTTCCATACATCCTTCAATTAACCCATCTGTCCTTCCATCTATCCATCCATTGTTTATTTCATCTATTAGTCTTCCTTCCACCCACCCATTCATCCACTTATTCATCTAGCCTGCTATCCATCCACCCTTCCATTTATCATCTATTATTCCTTCCATCACCTACCTGTCCTTTCATTCACCTAGTCATTCATGCCTTCACCCATCCTCCCATTCATCATCCATCCATCCATCCATCCATCCATCCATCCATCCATCCATCCACCTATCTATCCATCTGTCTTAGTTACTCTTCTCTCGTTGCTGGGACATATACCCGACACTCAAAATGAAGGAAGGAAAGGTTTAGCTCACAGTTACTGGAGGTTTCAGTCCATACTCAGCTGGGTCCAACACAGAGCAGCACATAGCAGAGGGCAACCTTTCATGGTGGCGGCAAAGAGCAAGAGTGCAAGGGAGGGGTAGCAGCAGCTCAAGCAGCTGGCTTCTCTTCCCACCTTACATTGTAATGCAAATTGCCTGCCCCAGGGTAGGGGAAGTACTCACACCTATGGGTACTTCCCAGTATTTACCCACCTATGGGTAATCCCAGCAGTACTAAGACCCATAATCCCAGCCTTGGATCACACATAATCCCAGGGGATCATGAGTTAACACAAACTCTAGAAGTCCTCACCCCATGACTGCATGAGGCTTTGGGGGGACAACTAGACACAAACCATAACACCATCTATTAACTATCTAGTCTTCCTTCACTCCATTCAATCATTTGTTCACTCTTTTATTTACTTATCCTTTGATTGATCCATTTGTTCATCGAATGATAGTTTCTTTAGCACCAACAGTCAGTGATCCACATGACCTCTTCCAGCAAGAGGTTTGTACCTGGATGAATAGAGCTTACCATGGTGGACACAGGAGGAAACATAGCCTAAGTTGAGCCCAGAAGATGAGGGCAGAACTTTCAGGGTGGAGATGGCAGCTCATGTAAAACCTCAGAGCACAGGGGATGCGTGCGTGGTCTTTTGGAGGAGGTGAGAAAAGCCTTGTGCTGCTGCTCCTGTGCTGTTGCATGGGAAGGACTGGAGGACAAGGTGTCTGTATTGAGAAAGGTCAGGGGAAGGCAGATCAATCAAGGCCTCAAAAAATTGGCTGAGCCACTAGCCCTTAGGGATGATGGGTGGGTGAGCCCGAGGCACATGGTCAAGTGTGACAGTCAGATAAGATCCCCTGGGGCCTGGTTGACAGAGTGAGGCTGGAGGTGGGAAGGGCAGGAGTATAATCCAGGTGGCTTGTGTTGGCTCTGTTCCATATAGAAAAGCTAGCCTGTCTACAGGGTTGGAGGTATGCAAGGCCTGGGGCAAGAATGGAGTCACCCAGTGTGTACTGAAGGGTGGAAGGGGAGATGTGGGGGATCCAGGGAGGGCGAGGCTTCAGGGTTAGAGGGGCTGTACTCTTAAAGGCCAATGGGGAGCCACGGGGGATTCTGAGCAGTGGAAGCTCATTTCTGGGGCAGGAGAGGCAAGGAGGGGCCGGGAGGGGGGCCCACCTAGAGAGCACAAGTCATGAGACACTGTCTTGTATCTTTTTGAAAAGTATTAATTTTACTGGCACACTTTTGATATACATGATGATCACATTCATCATAGGGGATATTTGTGATATAGCTTGATTCTTCTTTTTGTTCTCATTCCCCTCCCCTCTCCAACTTCTCTTTCCCTCCTTATTTGCCCACTTCTTTCTTTTTTTCTTTTCTTTTTTTTTTTTTTTTTTTTTTGTACTGGAAATTGAATTCAGGACCTTGTATTTGCAAGGCAGATGCTTGTTCCACTGAACTATATCCCCCCATTTAGAAAAGCTTCATTTCCCTTTTTTCCTTCTATTCTCTCTTTTTTTCCTTTTTCCTTCCTCCTCTTCCCCCCTCCCCCCCTTGTACCTCTTCCCATTTGAGCATTTTCTTCCTGCTGCCCAATATGCATCCTCTGTTTTGCTCCTCACTTACCCTTTTGGTCCCTCATATAGCAGAGACAATGTGACATCTAAACACATGTGTTCGATTTGTTTCACTTAAAAGTATGGTCTTAAGTTTACCCCTTTGCCTAAACATGTCTTAAGTTTATCCTTTGTGCCAGGATAGTACTCTACTGTATGTAAAAACACATCTTCTTTATCAGGTTATCTGTTTTCATGATTTAGCTACAAATTGTGCTAATATAAACATGCCTGTGGGTATAGCACTGTGGTGTGATGCTTTTAACCCTTTTGAGAACATACCAAGAAGGGGAATAGCTGGGTCAAATGGAAGCCCTAGGTTTAGTTTTTTGATAAATCTCCATAATCAAGAGGATATCAGAAAATGGAATGATATCCCTTGATCTCAAATCGGTACAACTAATATCGCGAAATTGGCCATGGTACCAAAACTGTTATACAGATTTACTGCAATCCTGATCAAAATACCAACAGCATACCTCATAGAACTAGAGAAAACAGTCCTAAATTTCATTTGGAACCAAAGGTGACCTAGAATAGCAAAAGCAATTCTCAGCAACAAAGGCAAGGCAGGGGCCACCACAATCTCTGACTTGAAATTATACTAGAAGGTACAATGATTAAAAACAGTCTGGTACTGGCAAAAAATACAAAGCAAAGCAAATCAGCAGAGCCAAGAATTGGTGGAACAGAGCAGAAGATGAAGAAGCAACTCCAGACATCCTCAGCCCCCTTATCTTTGACAAAGGGGCCAAACACCTTCACAGGAAGAAAGACAGCCTTTCTAATAAATGGTGCCAGGAAAACTGGCTTTCCACAGGCTGAAGATTAACCCCAGACTCACAGCTTTCCATGTACTAGACTAAAATAAAAATGGATCAAGGATTTAAATATTGACAGAAACACTCAATCTGCTGGAAGATAGACTAGGTAGAACTCTTGAAGATGCAGGGATAAGCGAAGACTTTATGAACAAAACCCTGACTGCACAGAAAATATTACAGGGAATCAACTATGTTACATTAAAAAGCTTTTGCACAGCAGAAAACCAAACCAAATCAAACTAAAACTGAAACAAAAAGCCACTCACAGAATGAAGAGACAACCACAAAGTGGGAATTTTTTTGACCAGCGATTCCTCAAAGGACTAATATCTAGAATATACAAAGAACTCAAAAAAATCAGACCTCTCAAATTCAAAGCACCATTCCAAAAATGGGTATCTGAGGTGAGCAGGCACTTCTTGTAAGGAATACAAAGGCAAAGAAATATGTGAAAAATCACTCAACATCATTCTAGAGATGCGAATTAAAACAACACTGAGATTCCATCTGAGTACAGCAAGAATGGCTATCACCAAGAAGTCAGCCAATAACAGATGCTGGCAAGGATGTGGGGAAGAGGGACCCTTCTCCGTGCTGGTGGGAGTGCAGGTGGGTGCTGTCTTGCGTGTTCACAGCCTGCTTCTTCTCCACAGCTGCCATTGCCCCCAAGGATGAGTTTTTCTACAGCTTCCTGAAGCCTTGGCTGGGTGAGTGCCTGACGGGGAGTTGGGGCCTCCTTGGAGGGTTTCAGAGGAACTCCTGAGGTCCCTAGCTGTCTTCCTCCCTGTCCAGGGGACGGGCTTCTGCTCAGCAAAGGGGACAAGTGGAGCCGGCACCGGCGTCTGCTGACGCCTGCCTTCCACTTTGACATTCTGAAGCCGTACATGAAGATCTTCAACCAGTGCGCCAACATCATGCATGTGAGTGCCAGGGCCAGCTGTGGGAGGAGGGCATCCTGGGTGTGACCACAAGGCTCCAACAGCGGCCTGCCGAAATCTACTGCTCCGCATCCATTCGCCGCCTGCCTGGCTGTCCTCTCTTCCAGACTAAGTGGCGGCGGCACCTCGGAGAGAAGTCGGTGGCCTCCTTTGATATGTTTGAGCACATCAGCCTCATGACCCTGGACAGTCTTCAGAAATGCGTGTTCAGTTACAGCAGTGACTGCCAGGAGTGAGTGTGACTGTCCTGCGTAGGGAAACAGAGCCAGCTGCTGCCGGGCTGAGGGAGTGGGAAGGAGGAGAGAGGTGACTCCCAACTGTTGGGCAACTGCCTGGCTGTGGATACTCTGCCACCCACAAGCCACACAGGGCCCGAGGAGATGACATCACCTCCCTGCACCTCAGTTTCTTTATTCCAGAAAAGTGGGCATGCTAATTCATTTCCCGCTGTCACCAGGTGGCAATGAAATGAGTGACTGAGTCAGTGGCTTGGCTGGGAGTTGGTGCTCAGCAAATCCAACTTTCCCTCCTTCCTCTGAAGAAAGTGTAGCCTTTGGAAAGTGTCCTCATCGTGCTTTCTGACCCTCAGTTTCTATCTATCTATCTATCTATCTATCTATCTATCTATCTATCTATCTGTCTATTGAGACAAGGTCTTGCCATATAGCTCAGGCTGGTCTGGAAGGCACTATGCGGCCCAGGGTGGCTTCAAAATTGCAGAGATTCTCCTGCTTCAGCCTCCCAAGTTCTGGAATTATTAGTCATCATCACACACTGCTAAGAGAGGTTTATTTAACACTCAGTTTTGTGAGCAGAAATTGCACACAGCAAGGCCTCACCTCTGATCAGTTTTTGTAACGGTCTTCTGGGCTGTATCAAATGGTGGATGGTATCATGGGTTATGGTTATAGTTAGGAGTAGGGGCAGGGATAGGGTTGAGGTTAGGGCTAGGGCAGGGTTTGGAATAGGAGAGGGTTAGGGGGAGGGTTAGGTTTAAGGGATAGGGTTAGGGGTACAGAGCAGGACTAGAAGCTAGAAGAGCAGGAGAGGTTTGCTGGTGCTAAGCTGTGGTGCTGGGTGTTGGGATTGCCTTGTGCTCACAGCTCTTGTTCCTGGCAGGAAGATGAGCGATTACATATCAGCCATCATTGAGCTGAGTGGCCTGGTCGTTCGGCGCCAGTATCGCCTCCATCACTACCCGAATTTCATCTACTACCTCTCAGCTGATGGGCGGAGATTCCGCCGGGCATGTGACATTGTGCACCGTTTCACCACTGAGGTCATCCAGGAGCGGCGGCAGGCACTGAGCCAGCAGGGGGTGGAGAAGTGGCTGCAGGCCAAGCAGGGCAAGACCTTGGACTTCATTGATGTGCTGCTCCTGGCCAAGGTGAGGCTGAGCTGGGGAGGGGAGCTCTCCTGGGGTACCTCTCCAGGAATCATGCCAGCTGCGTGGGCTGATGACTGCTGAGACTCAGAGAGATGAGATGAGGACAGAGTTAGGATGCAGCATGGGAGGCTTAGCTCTGTGCTGTCCAAATGTGTTCAAGGCTGGTCTCAGGCATATAATCCTCCTGCTTCAGTCTTCTGAGTGAGTGCTCGGATGACAGACATCTACTGCCATGTCTGGGCTTTCCTTCCGCTTTGGGAAAGACTGAAGACAGCTGGCCCTCTCTCTGTATCTGTGGATTTTGTATTTCAGACTGAACCCAACTCAGGTTGAAAATATTTGAGGAAAGATTGTGTCTGGCCTGTGTTGTGGCACATTTCTGCAATTCCAGCTACTTGGGAGGCTTAGGCAGGACGAGTATATGTTCAAGGCCAGGCCTGGCAACTATATCAGACCCTGTCTCAAAAGTAAAATTAAAAAAGTAAAAATGGCTTATCATACAGCTCAGCTTTAAGCATTCACATAACATGCAGGACACCTCTTTTGTGGTGGTCTTGAATGCACTCTGGAGCCCAGGCTGGCCTTGAACTCCCAGTGATCCTCCTGCCTCCGCCTCCTGAGTGGTGGGATTACACGTGTATATCTGACTAAAATGTTTTAAGTAAATAAAATAGTGTAGTATTTGTGTAGAACTCCCAGCCCTTAAGGTTGAATTTTTTTTCTTGGTGGTATTCTCTAGTACTTAAGACCTTCACATCAAGCTACATCCCAACTGCTTTTCAAATTTTTTATTTTGAGATTCAGCCTTGCAAGTTGCTCATTTGCCCAGGCTAGGATAGAACTTGTATCCTCCTGCCTCAGCCTTCCAGAGTGCTGGGATGACAGGTGTGAGCCACCATACTTGGCCCCATGTGTAGTTTTTCTGAGCAGCATTTGGGTCTGGAGCTAGAGCCTTCTGGATTCCATCCTTGGCTCTGTCACGTAGTGGACACATGACCTTAATAGCAGTGGTCTTCTTCACGGCTCAGTTTGCTCCACTGTAGCACAGTAACCAGGAGACCTGCTGACAAAGTTGTTGCCAGGCCTGCAGCAGGACGCCTGGTGTGGGAGCTGCTCAGTGATAGGCTGTGTGTTGTACAATGTGTCGGTCAGCAGCTGGGTGTATTTGTGACGCTGGCCCCATAAACTTGCATTGCCTGGGCTCGGGGTGTGCCAAGTGGTAGAGTGCTTGCCTAGCACGCTTGAGGCCCTGGGTTCTACCCCAGCAGTGTAAAAAGATGACGTATCACCTAGTAATGTCATGGCCCTCTAAGTTTGTATAGGGACAAATGAGCTCACCCAATGCCACCCTTTGCAGAATGCACCTGCATCATTGAAGTATATGTAATGGTGTAGACACCCTTCTTCTCCCATCTTTCCTTTTCCTTTTCTCTTTCTATTTTTCTTCCTTTTTTCACATTTGTTGTGCTGAGGATTGAATCCAAGACCTCACACAGCTAGGCACATGTTCCACCACTGAGCTACATCCTCAGCCTTTTAAAACATTTTACTGTGGCCGGAGGTCTCACTATGCTGCCTAGGCTGACAACCTCCTGCCTCAGCCTCCTGAGTTGCCAGGATCGCATGTGTGCACCATCAAATTCAGCCTATCATTCTTATACAAGTTACACCCCCATCCCCAGACTACAGACAGTGCGCTTCTGACTAGGGGAGCCTGTATGCTGCAGAGGGTGGGATGAAAGCACTGGGTGTCCTCTACTGCCCCCTGCAGGATGAAGATGGAAAGGAACTGTCTGATGAGGACATCCGAGCTGAGGCGGATACCTTCATGTTTGAGGGTGAGGAGAGGGGGCTGGGTTGAGGGAGGACGGCTGCTCTCCTTGGGCACACCATAGACACTCATCTGGCCGAGAGGCGGCCTCCATTTGGACCCCTAATCTGCCTGCAGGTCATGACACAACATCCAGTGGGCTCTCTTGGGTGCTGTTCAACTTGGCGAAGTACCCAGAGTACCAGGAGAAGTGCCGGGAAGAGATCCAGGAAATCATGAAAGGCCGGGAGCTGGAGGACCTGGAGTGGTCAGTTTGAGGGCTCTGGGAGTGGTAGGAACAGGTTGAGGCCAGAACTTGGGGTGTGAATCTCCCCCACTTACTCACTGTATGACCTTGGACAAGTCTTTCTCTAGCTGTAATGAGGCAATGACCGTGCTGCCCGTGCCTACCTCAGATTACAGCAGTTCTCACCACATCTTAGTCAGCATTGTCATGATGCTGCACGACAAACATCCTCTACACTCAATGTTTTGCACGTATTTACTTCTTGCTCTTGTGGTTGCTAGGCCTGCTGGAATATAGTGTGGTTGCTTCCAAATTGGGTGGCATCCAGGTTTGTTCCTAATATCTCTGTACTCTCTTTGAGCCAGCAGCTACCCTAGGATATATTCTTCTCCATGCAGATTCTAGAAGTATAACTATCCTCCTAATCCAATTCCAGTAAAGATCACATTTTTAGGTATGGGGTTAGGGCTTCAATGTATTCTTATTTTACTTTAGTTTTAAGCTTTTCTTTTTCTCTTTTTAATGTATTTGGTTGTTACAGGATCTCACTACGCAGCTTTGACTCATAGTGACCCTCTTGTTTTCAGCCTCCCAGCGCTGGGACTAGAGGCTTATGGCACTATGCTTGGACTCTGTGGCTGGTTCAGCCTGCCCTGGGGTCGGAGCTGGCATGGCACATGGTGCCGGGGATCAAACTGTGGTCCCTGCACTTGCCTAAGTTTGCCTAAGCAGGTGCTTTAGTCTGCTGAGCCATCTCACCAGCCTGCAGAGACTCTTTTTCAGAAAAAAAAAAAAAACCTGTAAGCCAAGCACAGTGATGGACACTGTAATCCCAGCTGGAGGATCACCAGTTCAAGACCATCTTAGGCAACTTTGCAAGACTGCCATAAAGTTTTTAAAAATAAATAAGTAAAATTCAAAGCCAAATTCCTCATAAATCAAAACCTACTGCAGGACTAAAAACAGGTAGTATGGGTTGAACTGTATCCATCAGAGGGGGGAAAAAAGTATATTTTTAAAAAATATGGAGGGCCAGCCAGATAGCTCCGTGGACTAAGGTGCAAGCTTAGGCAGGTACAGGGACTGGGGTTTGATCCTCAGCATGCCATGCTGGCCCCGCCCCTGGGGCACACTGAGACAGAGATTGAGACTGGGCGTGGTGGCACACACCTGTAATCCCAGAACTTGGAAGGCTGAAAACAGGAAGATCACTATGAGTCTGAATCTCCATGCAGATTCTAGAAGTAACAAGCTTGGCAAAGCACAGGGACCGCGGTTCAATCCCCCAGCACCACATGCCAGCCAGCCCCGCCCCCTGGTGGGCTGAGCTGGGCACACACACACACACACACACACACACACACATAATGATACATTTTTTAAAAAAATTAAAAAAAAAAAAAAAGAGTCTCTGGAGTTCAGGTTGGCCTTGAACTCACCATGTATCTCAGGCTGGCCTCACACTTGCCTCAGCCTCCTCTGCATGGGGATCACAGGCATGCACTGCCGTGCTCAGTTCACAGGTTTTCAAATACTGAATTAGCTGTGTTTAATGTCTTGGACCAAGAATCCCAGATACTCAGAAGGGTGAGACAGAAGCAGTGCCGGGGCCCAGGCATTTAGTGCCAGCCTGGACAACATCATGAGACCCCAATCTCTTTAAGAAAAGGAAAAGTTGGGGCTGGCGAGATGGCTCAGTGGTCTAAAGCACCTACTTGGAACAAGCTTGGCAGAGCACAAGGACCACGGTTCAATCCCCCAGCACCACATGCCAGCCAGCCCCGCCCCCTGGTGGGCTGAGCTGGCCACACACACACACACACACACACACACTAAATAAATAAATAAATAAATGTTTAAAAAAATATTTAAGAAAAGGAAAAGTAATTGTGGCTTAGTGGTGTATACCTATAATCTCAGCACTTTGGAAGCTGAGGTGAGATTGCAAATTTGAGCTAGGCTGGGGCAACTTAAAGACATCTTGTCTCAAAAAATAAATAAATAAATAAAAAGGGCTAGGGAGGTAGCTCAGCACGAAGGCTCAATATCTAGTACATGAGGGTACTACACACTGGTAATCCCAGCATGCAGGAAACTGAGGCAGGAGGATCACTGGGAGTTCAAGGCCAGCATGGGTAAGACCCAGTCTCAAAAAAAAAAAAAAAAAAAAAAAAAAATCTAGCAAATGAAGAAGGGGGATGGGTAGTACTAGAAGGAGAAGAGGGGGAGAAGAAATGGGAGAGAGGGCAGTATAGGAAGGAAGAAAAAACCCTACTGAAACTGGCCTATCAAGCTAGTAAACTCCTGCTAGTTCCCAGCCCCCCTGGCTATCCTAGCACTTCCCCTGACCACTGCATGATCCCTCAGTTAAAGGCTCCTCACCTAGCCCCAGCCTTGCTATGGTGATGGGCCTCTGTTCTGGTTGGATGGTGGTCAGATATTTTGCATCCCAAGTGTTTGCAGTGCCTGTAAGGTACAACTGCAAAGACCAGACGTGCACAATCAATTCTGAAACCCTGTGCTGGTTTCCTGCCCAGCTGCAAGCTGCTGCTGCTGTGTGTGCGTGCATGCACACATGTGTGTGCGTATCTCTGTGTGTGGCTGTGTGCATGCAAGCACACTTCGGGCAGTCATGGTGCTGTTCTCCCCAGGGACGACCTGACCCAGTTGCCCTTCACCACTATGTGCATCAAGGAGAGCCTGCGCCAGTTCCCACCGGTCACCCTGGTCTCGCGCCGCTGCACTGAGGACATCAAGCTCCCAGATGGGCGCATCATCCCTAAAGGTGCTCAGTGTGTGTCCCCTGTGACCCATGGCATCCAGATGATGTGGCTGCTCCACTGTCTACGGGGCCTGGTCATGCCTGCTCTAGTTACAGTATCTTTGTACATGGGGTGCCTCCCTGCATGCATTTTGGACTTGGGGTGATGTGGGACCCTGGTTTTATGTAGTGACATGGAGGTAGGTGAGTCCAGGTGGAAAAGAAGGAATTAGTGTGCAGGATTCACCTGAGAGGACATGGATCAGACCAGGCCAGTCTCACTGAGTTGTCAACTGTTCTCTGAAGACCAAGCTTTTGGTGGTACTGGGACTTGAACCCAGGGCCTCACAAGTTCTATGGAAGGGCTATACCACTAAGCTACCTTCCTTGCCCTTTAAAATGTTTTTACTGTGAGACAAGGCCATCCTAAGTTGCTCAGGCTGGACCTGAATTTGTGGTCCTTCTACCTCAGCCTCCTGAGGAGCTGAGATTACATGTGGCATGCTGTGCCCAGATTTCACTGTTTGTGGTTATTTATTGTTTTTAGCAGTGCTGAGTTCTAGTGATTGAACCCAGCACCTTCTACAACCTAGGCAAGTGCTGTACCACTGAGCTACATCATCAGTCCGTGAGGCCTGTTTTAAGTAGTCCTGGGGTCCAGCAGGGCCTCATCTCCACATCCAGGCCTTGAAGGTCACCCAGACTGTGGGGGGAAGGTAGAGCATAGGCATTCCCAGCCATCTGAGGTCAGGAACGGACTAAAGGTAGAGAGAGGTTGCTGGGGATGGTGGCACATGCCTGTACTCCTAGCACTGGGGGAGGAGGACTCAGGAGGATCACTGGAAGTTTGAGGTTGGCCTGGGCTATGTAGAGAGACCCTGTCTTGTAAGAAAGAAAGAAAGAAAGAGAGTAAGAAAGAAAGAAAGAAAGAAAGAAAGAGAGACAGGGGCTGGAGAGGTCCAAATATAGATGGAAGACTCCCTTCCTTTGAGAAGAATGCCAGGAGGGCTTCTTGGAAGAAGGGGCATGGAAGGTCAGGCTTAGAGGTTGGAGATGAAAGATCAAAGGCATTTGTGCAGTGCCTCAGTGTGCAGACTGTAAAAGGCCTTGAACTCCAGTCCAAGGGCAGTAGGGAACCAAGGGAGGCATCTGAGCTGAGAATGAACAATGCCATATTTGTGGCTGAGAAAGAGCCTGGTGTGGCTCAAATGGCAGCCAGAGAGGTGCTGGGGCCTTTTAGGAGAAGGAATGAAAGTATATAGGGCAGCAGATTTTTTTCAGAAAACGATGGAGAGGAAGTGGGGGACGATGGCTCATGGGAATGCTCCAGTTCCAGGGAGAACTGGGGCGGGGGCTGTTTCTAGAAGAGACCTTGCTGATGCTACTTGTCTCTATAGGAATCATCTGCATGGTCAACATCTACGGGACGCATCACAACCCGACAGTGTGGCCTGACTCCAAGGTGAGCTCCTGCTGTGTCTTGGTCACTTTCTCATCTCTGGGACTCAATTACTGATACTTACAGCTTAAAGGAGAGGCCTATTTGGGTTCATGGCTTTTTAAAAACTTTTAAAACTTTTTTTCCCATAATTTTATTGATAAACAAATAGCAATGAGACAGTTTCAAATCAAATTGGTAGAATAGTTTCAATAATACACACACTGCACACATTCTTCCTAGTGGTTAATTGCTGTACAAGATGTGGACATGATATCCTATTTACAAACACCATTAGAACAAATCGCTCTATTCGGGTTCATGGCTTTTACAGGGTTTAGTCCAGAGCTGGGTGGAGTGGTAGAAGGGTCAGGCGGAGGAAAGCTGCTCACAGCATGGCAGCCAGGAAGTCGAGGAAAGTGAGGAGTCAGGGAGAGGCCACGCCCCCAGGCCACACCCCCAGCAACCCATCATCAGCTATAGCAGCTCCCTGATCCAAGTAGTGTCCAGGTGACCTACTTCTGAGCATATGAGAGTTTTGGGGGTCATTCCCTATCTAAACCATAACATGCTCCAAACATCCCTACCATCAGCTTCTTTTTTCCCAGAAAGGCCAGCCCTGGGGGCCAGAGATGGGATCTGGTTTCAGGACCCGCTCATCTTTCTCTCCATCCACTTAATCTACACATTGTTAACTCGTTAGGACAACAAATAGTGCCTGAGCGCTTACTGTGTGCCAGGCCCTGAGCTGGACACCAAGGACCGGAAATGACATTGTCTTTGCCTTCATAGCATTTGCAGTGAGGCTTCTGGGGGAGACAAACACATACCTAAGATTATTTGGGGTACTGATCAATGCCCCCAGAGAAATAAAGATGGTGGAGCAAGCAGGGCATACTTTAGTTCAGGTGGTCAGAAAGGCCTTGGTGTGGAAGAAACTTTTTTTTGGTAATGGGAGTCAAACTCAGGACCTCGCGCCTGCCAGGCAGGGGAAGCGATTGTTGAGCTCCGGCGTGAAGAGTGTGCAAAGCAGGAAGAAATGTGTTCTAGGCAGAGGAAACTGTAAGTGCAAAGACCCCGAGGTAGGAAGGAACCCAGCATGTCTGCCAGAAGCAGGGGGCAGGCGTGGCTATACTGTGGAGACAGTGGGGTGGCATGGAGGAGGTGGCCCCGTCTCCCAACTGGACTCATGCCCAGAGGTGTGGAGGTGTGGGCCAAGCTGGAGGGGCTGCGCCAGCCCCCACCCCACTCATCCCTGGCTGTTCCTGTCTAGGTGTACAACCCTTACCGCTTCGACCCACTCAACCCACAGCAGCGCTCACCGCTGGCCTACGTGCCTTTTTCCGCAGGACCTAGGTAAGGTTTCTCCACTCGTGGGAGGAACAGAGCTGGGGAACAGAGGAACAGAACCTCCTGCTTCAGCCTTCCAACTTTTACTAGCACCTTGATGCTGTGCGTAGCCTGAGCCGCTGTACCCTTTTTCTGCAGGAACTGCATTGGACAGAGCTTCGCCATGTCGGAGATGCGCGTGGCCGTGGCACTCACGCTGCTGCGCTTCCGCCTGAGCGTGGACCGAACGCACAAGGTGCGGCGGAAGCCGGAGCTCATCCTCCGTACAGAAAATGGCATCTGGCTCAACGTGGAGCCTCTGCCTCCACTTGGGGCCCAGGCCACGCCCAGAGAGTCCCAGGCCCCGCCCCTAAGAGCCCAGGCCCCGCCCCCAAAGTACTGAGGGCGCAGTCCCGCTAGAAGTCCAGGCTTGCTGGAGGAACAGAGGCCTCAGCTGATCAGCGTGTTGGTGTTGGCCGCGCCCCTCAAGACAAGCTCCACTCCCTGAGTTCCGCACCTGCCCTGCAGCTGGAGGGACCAAGTTCGGCCCGGCTCCCTCCGAGTCCCTGGATTGAAGTACTCAGGGCACACCCCTGGGATCCAGCTTCCCAGGCTCTGCCCACTGAACCTTCCAAGGCCTGAGATCCGCCTCTCGAACTCAAGACGCACCCTTCCCTGCTGGCTGGACCCAGCCTGGCTTCTAAATTGAAGACTTGGAAGCTGGAGCCTGAGGTCAGAGCCGAGCACCTGGACACTGCCTTTCTCAGGCCTCCGCCTCAAATGAACAGACGTCATCCCAGGTCTCCGACTGTTTGCCTTTGTAGTTTTGTAAACCTACCTACCCTCTTCCTACCTTTCCTGATCACAGACCCTTCGCTAAGTGTTCTGATTTTTGAAGAATAAAAGTACAGGGTCGCAGATACCTCCTATCTCCCACCCCTCAGCCCAGACCATAGATCTGGAGCCAGGGCTCTGGGCAGCTGGGAGGTTGCACACTGGGAGGCCAGGAAGCAGTTTGTATTAGGACATAAACTCAGCTGTTTCCGGAAAAATTGTGCATTTGTTTATTTTGTCAATATGTTCATTAAATGTCTACTAGCAGACAGGCCCGATTCCTGCCCTTGAAAAGGCTGGGTTGTAGATTCTGACAGGTAATTCTAATGATTTATAACTTGTGTCAAGTACTACTGTAAACCTGAGACCCCTGGTGCTGGGTGAATCCAAAGGTAGCATACTTGAAAAAAAGAAAATCCAAAACAACATGAAACAAAGAACAAACCCCGACTGGGTGAGATTGAGAGAGAGAGAGAGAGAGAGAGAGAGAGAGAGAGAGAGAGAGAGAAAACACGTCCAGGCAGGCAGGCAGGGCTTAAGAACCCAGTCCCTACTGTCCCCAGACTCAGGTGCTTCCTGTGTGCTCCTCTGTATAGTCTCACTGGATCTCCCTCTCGCTTTGATCAGTGTTCACTATTTTGTTAAACAAGTGGAAACCAAGACCCCCAAGGGAAGCAGCTCAAGGCCTTCCACACAGCACCGTTGGCCACCAGCGGAGATCACGAGCCCTACGTGGCTCCACCCTTAGACTCCCGGTCAGGATCTGTGTCCCCAAGTCTCTTTCTGCATAGCAGCAGGTAGTGAGGGGCTCTGGGACCCTCACTGGGGGTCCCCTTTCTAGTCCCCTTGAGACTAGTGCAGGCCACAGCTCCTCTTCCTGCCTCTGGCTGATGCTGTTCCCCTCATGCATGGTTCTGGGGGCCTCCAAGTGCTGTCTTTCTCCCCTTACTGCAACCTGGTCATCTTTGGGCAAAACCCAACCAGCCAATGAGTCACCCAGCCAATCATCCAACCCAGTCTTCTGGGATCTGCACCTTCCTGGCTGTGGCCACAAGCGGTGGCTGCCTGATCCCTTGTCCTGTGGATCTCATGGGGTCACTGGGGCTGCAAATCACACATTGCCATCGAGGGCTGTAAGAAAGGAGAGGGGGTGCCAGCCTGAGCCTCCAGGCCTGGGCTACATGTGCAAGTGTGATTTTAATTTATTAGTACATGTTCGCAGGACGCAATGATCACTCACACTCATCGTGAGGCGTTGGTCCACATACATAATAACTCTGAATTCTTTTTTATCTCTTTTCTTTCCTCCATCACAAGAGCCTCTTCCCATTTGTAAAGAATCTATTTCTCTGTTTCCTGGTATCTGTCTTTTATTTTATACGTCAGACTTCTTGTAGAAGAAAAGCCAGGCGATATTTAAGCTTGGGTGTCTGATTTAGTTCTCTTAAAATCAATTTCAAGAAGCACCTGTTTCCCTACCAGGACTCATGTTTATCCTTCTTCATGGCAGAGGGCCGCTGTCTTGTGTGTAGGTGCCACATGGTCTCTTTTCATCGCTGGTGGACACAGAGGTGCTTCTGAGTTAGCTGTTCCGGTTTACACTGCTGAAACGGTATGCACGGATCACAGGAACACGACGTCTTTAACTCTTTCTGGAAGACACCTAGGAGGGGACTAGATGGGTCGAACGACATCTCTAGTTTTATGTTTTGAGGAATCTCAGCACCAATTTCCATACTGGTTGTACTAGTTTACAGTCTCACCAATAATTTAGCTCCCCCCTCAGCCTCTCCAGCATTTGTTATAGATTCTTTTTTGTTTTTGAGACAGAGTCTCACTTTATAGTCCAGGCTGGTCTTGAACTCACTATGTAGCCCAGGCTGACCTCGGACTCTCAGCCATTGTCCTGCCTCAGCCTCCTAAATGCTGGGATTGTGTGCTTCACCACACTCAGCTTGTTGTTAGATTTCTTGACTATGGGCATTCTTTCCAGAATAATATGGAATGTCAGTGTTGTTTTCCTTTGGATTTCTCTAATGACTAGCGACATGGAGTCTTTTTTCATATCTGGGCATTTGTACTGCAGAGTAAATCTTGAAACACTCAGGCTGTGCTGTCTTTGGATGCTGCAGGCCTCCTTCCCGTCTTAAGTGTGACAGTGGCTCCCTCTGCTGGGCACTTCTGAAACAACAGGCTGTTTCCGAGAGAGGTCAAGGTGCGCCAGTCTTCTTGCAGAGTGTGTGTGTGACTGTGCACACGCGTGGCCGTGTATGCATTTGGGTGGCTGTGTGTGCACGTATTTGGGTGAGAGCATGTGTGTATGTGTACATATACGTGTGTGTACACATGTGTGCTTGTGTTGAAGTCGAGAAAGGAAGAATTCCACCTCCTCCACGCCCCCTCTTCTCCAAATATATTTACACTTTAATCCTTGCTTCAGGGGAATGCAAACTAAGGTGCATGGTGGCTGCACTTCCCAATCCCTGGCAGCCTATTGTGGAGCCCTCATTAGCGCGGAGGAAGGCAGGGCTCAGAGAGGGCAAGTCACTGGCATGCGGCCACACAGCCTGCAAGGAGCAGAGCTCAGCTTTGATCATGGAAGTGGCCAACCCCCAGCTCCTCACTTGCTCCTCTGCCCTGAGCTTCCTCCTTGATGTGGGAAAGACCGAGGGATGTCCACAGCCCTCAGAATTCCTGCAGGAGCCAGACAGACCCCAAGGCTCATAGCTGACGCTGATGTCCTCGTTCTGTCACAAGATAAAGTAGTAATGCTGCCACCCGCAAGCTTGGTGCCAACTGGCTGCTGGGGAGTGTGGGCTGTGAGTATTTTCTCTCTCTCTTTCCTCCTCCTTCCTCCTTTACCTTTTTCTCTTTCTCTTCTCCCTCTTCCTCCTCCTCCTTTCTTCTTTTTGTTAATTCTCCTCCTTCTGCCTCCCTCTCATCTTTCTTCTCCCCCTCCTCCCCTCCGTCCTTCCCTCTGTCCTTCCCTCCATCCTCCCCTCCCTCCTCTTCCTTGAGCGCCCTCTCTCTCTCTCTCTCTCTCTCTCTCTCTCTCTCTCTCTCTCTCTCTCTCTCTCTCTCTCTCTCTCTCTCTCTCTCTTAATGCCACAACGCCCAGCTCACGGGTTTATTTCTTTTCTTTCTTTTTTTTTTTTTTCTGTGGCGGGCTCAGCCCACCCTGGGGGCTGGGCTGCGGCAGCATGTGGTGCTGGGGATTGAACCAGATTCCTGCGCACTTGCCTAAGCGTGCCTAAGCTGGCGCTTTAGGCTGCTGAGCTACCTCGCAGGCCCTCTTCCTTGGGCTTGATGGGAAAAAACTGTAAGTGCCTGTCTGAGGGTGCAGCTTGGTGGCTCAGTGTGTCGGCCGCGCCCAAGAGCTGGTGTTTAGTCCCAGCACGAGCTCCCTCCCTCACATACAGAAGGTTGTAAGTATAGGAATTTGCCTATAAATGTAGAAAACACACAATTTGGCTGGACTTCAGCAGGGACAGCTTGAGGGCATTAAGGGGGACCTTTAGCAGGCAGAGGGAGCCACTTTCGAGACAGCTTACTCTCGCGGCTGGCACAGGCAGGTTCTCAGGTCGTCTTGATGGGGCCTCTCCTGGGGCTGCTGGGCCGCTTCTCACATGGCAGCTGGATGGGAGTGAGGACTCCAAGGAAGGCAGCGGTCAGTCTTCTTAGGACCTAGACCCAAAGTCCTACAAGCTATCAAGACAGCCCAGATGCAAGGAGAAGGGAATTAGACTCCATCTGTGTACTGGCCAGGGTTCTCCAGAGAAAGAGAGTCAATAACTGTCTCATCTAATCCATAATGATTTGAATCTTTAATTTCCCCAAAGTCCACGCGCTGAGGGTTTGATCTCCAGCTGTGGCATTGTGGGAACCCTAAGGAAGTGGATACGATACCGTAACTTATAAAGAGGCAGAATGTATTTTAATTCATGGCTTTAGAAGTTTCAGGGCTCCGGTGCTTTGGGCCTGTGGTGAGGATGAACGCTATGGTAGTGACCACATCATAGAGCAGCTGCTGGCTTCCTGTGTCAGGAAGCAGAAAGAAGAGGGGTGGGGTCTCAAGAGCTCCTTCCGGGCCAAGCCCCAGGGACCCAGTTTTCAGCACATTATGGACCCACCAGCAGGTGGATCCTCCGCAGCAGGGAAGGAGGAGGATCTGGGCACCCGACCGGCTGAGGGCTTCAGAACCCTGTAGGACCAGAAACTGGGTTTGGCATGGCTAGAAATGATGTGGGTAGAGGAAGGGAAGTCGGAGCATCTCTCAGTCACCACAGGAACACCTCAGACAACTCCACTCTTCCAGCTCACCTTGCTCTGGGGACCTGAACACAGAAAGGAGGCTGCTCAGGATGGAAGTGGGACAAGAGGTACCCTAGGGATTGTCAACTTCCCATTTTCCAGATGGACGATGGAGGCCGGAGAGGGCCAGCTCTGCCTGCTGGTGAGCAAGCACTCTGTACAGGGTCCCTGGCTCTGCCCTCCCCGCATGGATGCCCTGTGCTGCCTGGTCCCTCTTTACCCCTCTCCCATCTCCCCCCGTGGACTTCTGACCTCTGATTCTGGGGCTGAGTCCGGCCTCCGGCTGTGCTTCTCCCACTGGGCTGTTTATCTAAAGAATGTGACCCAGATGACTCTTGTGTGGCTGGATTTCTGGATCTGGCATCTAGATGTTATGACAGCCTGTATGTGGGTGACTTGGAGGGGCAGGGCTTGAACTCTCGCCAGACCATGCACCTGGTGAGCCATAGGCCTCTATCTTTGAATCTAATTTTTTTTAGAGGGTTTTAAATATTTTATTTATTTATTTTTTCTTCTGTATTTAGGATAGAATCTACAGGGTCTCACTATGCATCTCAGACTCATAGTGATCCTCTTGTTTTCGGCCTCCCCAGAGCTGGGATTACAGGTGTGCACCGCTACGTCTGGATTCTATGGCCAGCTCAGCCCACCCTGGAGGCGAGGCTGGTGCGGCATGTGGTGCAGGGGATCAAACCACTGTCATGGGCTTGGCTAAACTTGCCTAAAGTTGCTTTAGTCTGCTGAGCTATCTTGCTGGCCCTTTTTTTTTTTTTTTTTTTTTTTAGAACCAGGAATTGAACTCAGGCCCTTGTGCTTGCCAGGCAAGCACTTATTCTACTGAGCTATATCCCCAGTCTCTCTGTTGTTTTGAGACAAGGTATCTTAGTTACTTTTTTTGTTACTAGACCAAAATACCTGACATCTACAATTTCTTTCTTTAAAAATTAAAAAAAAAATCTTTATTCATCTATTTATTTGGTAGAGAGTCTTATTACACAGCTCAGAATCATAGTGATCCTCCTATGTCAGCCTCCCTAGTGCTGGGATTATGGGTGTGGACCAGTAATCTGGTGCACATGCCGAGTCTCAGTGGCCTGTGTTCTGGGGCCAGCGCAGCATGTGGTACTGGGGATCGAACCTCAGTCCTTGCACTTGCCAGGCAGGCGCTTAGACTGCCAAGCTATCTCCCCACCCCCCAACACCTATAATTGCTAAGAAAGGATAGGTTTGTTTTGCCTCACAGTTTGTCCTGGTTTCAATCCATAGTCAGCTGGCTCCAAGGCTGGGAGGGCCGAGGGTACTTGCTTCTGGTGGGGCAGCAGGAAGGAGCGTGCTAACAAGGAGCGTCCTTCCAGGCTATGCCACCGTAACCCACCTCCCCTACTGATGAGTACCATGTCTCTATTGTCGGAGCACCTCCCTCGAGCCCCACATACAAGTGCAGGCTCCCTTTGCACCCAGCGTTCCACTTCAGAGTCTTGGCCTCCTCCCAGGTAGGGAGGAGCCGCTGGGCTTGTGTGGATTGGCCCAGCCCAGGCCCAGCCTCCTGCAGTGGACTGAGGTCAGGGGCGGAGCGAGAGGTTCTAGAGGAAGAGACAGGTACCCGTAGGCTCTGGCTGTTTCTTACGGAAGGTATCAGGCTGGAGGTAGAAGGAAGGTTCTGGCCTGAACCCCCTCAGGTGCAGAGGAGGCTCCCCAGGGAAGGAGCTGTGGAGAACAGTGGTGGTTTCTGGGTAACTGAGCTCCTGGCCTTTGCCCTGTTTCTGGTGGAACCAGTTTGCAGTCTAAACTGCTCCCTCACCTCTCTCTTCTTCTCTTTCTCCCCTCTCTTCCCCTCCTCTCTGCCTTTTCTTCCTTCAATCCCCAGGTCTCCTTTTACCTCCTAGTCCTCTCCCAACCCTCCCAGTCCCTGTCCCCTCTGGAGTCCCTCTCCTTGGACTTGGGAGCCCCCTGTGTGCCTCCAGGATGACCCCACTGAGTCTGTCCTGGCTGGGGCTGGGGTCCGTGACAGCCTCCCTGTGGCAGCTCCTGTTGGTGGCAGGGACTTCCTGGCTCTTAGCCCGAATTCTGGCCTGGATCTATGCCTGCCATGACTACCGCTGTCGCCTCCGATGTTTCCCACAGCCTCCCAAGAGGAACTGGTTTTGGGGTCACCTGGGTATGGTGAGTGTGGCGGCAGTCAGGGGGCTGGCAGTTGGGGTGTGGGCTGGGGTCTAGGATGGCAGAGGAACGAGGAAGCTCAGGGGACCCCTTTTTCCTCACTGCCCCTTCACCTCTGTTTTTCTCCTCCCCATTATCCAAGGTCCCTCCCCTCCACGGCTGCTTTGGGCCACACTCTGCCTGTGCTCCCCATATTAACACACTCCTCTCTACTTGGTGGAGCTCCCAAGGCAGACCACACAGACAAGGGACCTGCTGGCCCCTCTGCAGTTTCCACCCCTGGATTTGAGGCCCCATCACGGCACTGTCGCAGGGCAACTTTCTGTCAGCTCATCTCTGTGGACTCCAGGCCTGTGTCTTCATCTCTCCAGGCTGTGTCTCTCTCACCCCAGCTCAAAGGGCAGCTCTGAGAGCAGAAGTGTGGGCCGTCTCCTGCTCCCCCAGGGCCTCAGCATTTCTCTCCCCTTACCTTCCCTCCATGTGGTGTCTTGAGTCTTTGAGTGGAGTGAATGGTAAGATGTTGGGGCGGGGAGAGAGACACACAGGCACACAGGGAGGGAGGGAGAAAGGTAGGGAGGGAGGGAGAGAGAGAGAGAGAGAGAATAATGGAGCAAAAGACACACACACAGAGGGACAGATAAATAGGGAATAAATAAAAATGCACACATGCACATATATCTATATGTAACCATTTTTTTTTTTGTGGGGGTGGGGAGAGAAAGGATCTCGCTATGTAGTTCAGGCTGGCCTTGAACTCACTGTGGAGCCCAGGCTGGCTTCAAACTTGTGGTGATCCTCCTACCTCAACCCTCTGAGTGCTGGAATTATAGGCATGTGCTGCCACACCTGGCTCTATCTATCCATCTCATCTATCACTATCATAAAATCTACCTTATTTCATGTGGCATGTATCTTGTCTATTTGTCTTCTGGGCCCCCTTATTTCTTTCTTTCTTTCTTTCTTTTTTTTTAGTTTCTATTTTTTAAAAAAAATTTTTCCCCATAATTTTATTGAGAAACAAATAGCAATGAGACAGTTTCAAACCAAATTGGTAGGATAGTTTCAATAATTAACACATTGCATACATTCTCCCTAGTGGTTAATTGCTGTACAAGATGTGGACGTGATATCTTATTTTCAAACACCATTAGAGCAAATTGCTCTATTCATTAAGAGAATATAACTATATATCTATCCTAACCACTTTGAATACACAGATACAAAATGGACATTCATCTGTATCCCCTTTTTTTGTTTAGTTCCATTATTTGAATATTATAGCTGTGTTAAATCAGCAAAATATTCTAAAAGAGTCCAGTAGTCCGTAATAGTATTGGGGCTTCTACTTCACTGGCAATGTCAGAAATTGTTGACCTGAGTCCCCTACAGCTCCACATAACAACATGGCTTTACTTCTTATACTTCATTTTTATACTTTTCTGCTGGATGGTTAAGACCAAGATAAAGCAAGACCTATGCAACAAGAGTTGTAGCTTTTAGGTCTGATAATGTCAGTGAAATCCCCTCAGGATTTATCCTGAGTGGGCCCCCTTATTTCCTCTTGTATCTATCATCTGTTTATCCTTCTCTGTGTTTCACCTCTCTCATATATTTATCTATCAAAGTATAGTCTACCAAATCTATTTATCAGCAATCTGTGCATCCTTGTCTGTCTCTTTTATGTGTCTATCTATGTTTCTATTCATGTATGTTCTGTGTAGCCATCTCTCTCTCACCAATATATCTTGTCTGCCATCTGTCTGTCTGTCTGTCTATCTATCTATCTATCTATCTATCTATCTATCTATCTATCTATCTATTTGTCATCCATATATCTAGAAAGGAAACAGATAAAAGGAGTCAGGAGTCAAGGAGAGGCAAAGACAGAGAGACAGATACTGAGAGAGACAGGGACCCATACACACTGACTCAGTGAGAGGCGTAGATGACGACCAAGGTAGCAGGGAGCAGAGGGCAGGGGCAGAGCGAATAGAGAGATGGAGTTGGCAGTGGTAGCAGCTGAGGTCCCTGCCAAGACTGGTCTTAGTCTCTCCTTCCTCAGGCAAAGAACAATGAGGAAGGCATGAAGCTGATGGAGGACCTGGGCCGCAGTTTCCCTGATGTCCACCTCTGGTGGGTCGGGCCCATCTACCCAGTTCTGAGGCTCATCCACCCTAAGTTCATTGCCCCCTTGCTTCAGGCACCAGGTACCAGCCAGTACCCCAAACCCTAGCTTGACTCTTCCTTGGCTTTGCTCCTAGTCCTTCTCATCCCTGGACAGGCCAGGCTGGGTGGGGGAAGGGGAGACACCAGCAGAGACCATGTCTCTGCCACCGATCTTCTGGATGACCCGGGAAGGTCCCTGGTTCTTCCTGGTTGCTGAGGTCTCCTTCAGTTGTGAGTCATGGAAACAACTCTTGTGGGGTCTAAGCATAGAAAGGGCATCTATTGACAGCAAAGCCCAAGGGATATGGTCTTCAGCCATGGTTGGTCCGGGTCTCCCAACAAAGCCATCAGGAGTCTTAATATCTTAATATCACAGTTTACTTCTGTGATCGCTTCATGCTTGTGCTGGTAAAGATGAACGCAAGAAACCTAACCCCTAGGAAAAATTCCCACTACTTCCAAAAGAGTTTCAGCATTCTCTTAAATCTTCCTGGTTCTTTATCCAGTGCCTGTGACTTAACTGCTGAGGCTTATGGCTGTGAGCTTGGACTTTGGTGGATATGGCCACTCTCCCAACTGCTTGGATTGGGATGGGGATAGGTGTGAGGTGATGGTTTCAAAAGAAGGGGAATGGCTGCTAGAGGGGAGGACACGTCCATCCACCAGCATTCCTGAGAGGTGGGAAGTGCCTGGGAGGTAGGGAGGCACCATGACCTCTCAAGGTCACAAAGAATTCCAAGGCCCCCTTGTTAGTTCTGTGTGCTCTTGTGCATCTCAGCTGCCTCTGACGGGAGGGTGATTTAGGAGGGAGGGTTGCTCAGAGCATTCTAAGGGAAGAGCCCATGGATCTTAAGACAGGTCCTCTGTGTTTAGTGGGCTCTAGGGCTGCCCCAAGGCTGGAGGAGGATCTTTGTGGTGGGTGGAGCTCAGCATACAAAGAGGGGGCTGTATCTTCTGGTCTCTTTAAGGATAAAGCAGTCCTTGATCCTAAGTATTTAACACTTGATAAAGAATAGAGGAGGATCCACTGCTATCTGGGACATTAAGGGGGCCATATGCAGTCCTGTCTAGGGCTCATCTGTAGGACCCACTTAGTCCATGTCAGCGTAGGCCATGTGGGTTGCATCCATAATGTCATGATAACACATGTTGCCTTCATGTCACATGGCCCCATGTATGTCAAGAGATGCCAGACTAACAGGATAGGTAGGGTGTCCTAGGTTCCTGTAGAGGTGTGCTCTAGAGCACTGAGCCACGCTCGGTGTCACAGAATATGTGGGACCATGTAGGTAGCGGGTCAAGGCGCATTGGGATGTGCTGTGCCTTTGCTATACCTGGCTGCCGCTTCCTGACCTGCTTCCCTCCTCACACATCCCTCTTCTCTTCTTCCTCGGACCCTGGATCCCTTCCTGCCATGCTGATCTGGGAGGGAGGAAGTACAGAGCCGTGGCTGGGAGCTTCCACTTCCTACTGACTCTGTGACCCCTGGTGGCTTTTTTTCATGTCAGCTGCGGTTGCACCCAAGGACATGGTTTTCTACCGCTTCCTGAAACCCTGGCTGGGTGAGTACCTGCAGGTGAAGGACTTGGGAACAACCCAGGAGCCAGGGGAAGGAGGTGCCTTTACCCACTGCCCATGGCTGCCCCAACAGGGGATGGGCTCTTACTGAGTGCTGGTGACAAGTGGAGCCACCACCGTCGCTTGCTGACACCCGCCTTCCACTTTGACATCCTGAAGCCATATGTGAAGATTTTTAACAAGAGTGTGAACATCATGCATGTGAGTTTTTCCAGCTTAGGGCTCAGTGGAACTTTGGGAAAGGGGCATAACTTTAGACATATCTGGTCTGCAGTCTCTCTCTCTCTCTCTCTCTCTCTCTCTCTCTCTCTCTCTCTCTCTCTCTCTCTCTCTGTCTCCCCCTTTCTGGCTGGTTCAACTCACCCTGAGGGTGGAGCTGGCATGGCATATGGTGCTGGGGATTGAACCACAGTCTCCTGCACCTGCCTAAGCTTGCCTAAGCAGGTGCTTTAGACCACTGAGCTATCTTGCCGGCCCATTGGACACTGTTTCTTTTCTTCTGTAAGGCTTGGTTTTCTCATCTGTAAAATGGGAATAATAATTTCTAGCCCACATAAAGCTATGGGCCCAGCATGCAGTAGGTACTTGGGAGACCTTAGTTTCTGAGATCCCTCATGAAAGTTCTAGAAACTGATCACAACAGTATTGAAGACTGTGGAGTCGCTCTTCTAGCATGGCACACTGCTTTAAAACTCGTGGGCCTCAGTGGGCCCCCTGGGATCCTTCTTTTTTTTCTGATCTTTTAGGAGTATGGCAGAGCCTGGGTTCCAAAAGAGGCAACAGAAACGTTCAGAGCCCTTTGATAGCTGGGGCCAGTGCTAGTCCACCATAGTCATGCCTACTTCTCTTGGCCAATGCAAGTCCCAAGTGCAGGTCAGATTCAAGAGATGGAGAAACAGCCACCACCTCCTGATGGAAGAGGCTGCAGAGCCTCTCTGCACATATGGAGAGTAGAGGGAGGGTGAAAAACTGCGGCCACTCTGGGTTCATCTATGACCAGGCTAATGAGGAAGAGTCTACAATAGCCAGCACTTATTGAGCATTTACCCTGTACCAGAGGTAATCTGCCAGTTCTGTGATTTATGCTCCTGTGTAATTTTCACACTGCTCTAAAGCAATGATGTTTGTGATTTGTCATGTTGTGGGTGATGAGACCTGGGTCAGACAGATTAGAGAGCTTGGCATTCCTCACCTGGCTTATCTAACTCCAAGGCAGGTCAATTTAACTGTTGCTTATATCTTTGTCTTCAAACAGTAACGGGGTCTGCTCCCACCCAAACCTGGTCCTTCCTGGGGTCAGCAGGCTGGCTCTGAGGACTCCATCCTGGTGACTAGAGTTGGGGAGGGGCTCAAAGGAGCCAGATCCCAGTCCCAATTCTCTCCCCATCTCTGGCCAGGCCAAGTGGCAGCGCCTGACCTCCCAGGGCAGTGCCCGTCTAGACATGTTTGAGCACATCAGCCTGATGACCTTGGACAGTCTGCAGAAATGTGTGTTCAGCTTCGAGAGCAACTGTCAGGAGTGAGTCCTTTCCCTGGGCTGGAACCTGGAGCCATGGAGCCAAGGGAGGAAGTGGGGAGGAAGGACTGAGAAGAAGGACCAGAAGATCCTTTCCTGGAGGATGTGGGTCAGACCTGGGCATGGACTGACAGGCAAGGGAAGGGAGGATGGTCCTTCCAGACAGGTGGGATTGTTTGAATAAAGGCAAGGGGGCTTGCATGAGCAGAACCTATGCAACAGGGAACAAGGAGGCACCTGGGAGATGACATTGGAGAGGCAGGTAGTGGCCAGATCTTCAGGACACTGAAAAGTTTGGTCCTGAGGTTTCTAGGAAACCATGGATGGTGTCTGAGGAGGTCAGAACTGAGCATGGATGTTTGACTTGATAAAGGATTGACTGTCCTTCAGAATGCAAAGAGATCTGGAAAGGGGGGGAGGTCTGAGCCTGGTGGACAACATGGAAAAGATTTGGAAGAAGACACAGCAGCATGGGCAGTACCAGATGTTGGAGTCTATCTGGGAGGTGCTCCAGAATCTCCTGGCTATTAAAGACTTGCTTTCTCTTCTGCCTTGGTCCTGCAGGCATCCCAGTGAATATATTGCTGCCATCTTGGAGCTCAGCTCCCTTGTAGTCAAACGGCACCACCAGCCCTTTCAGTACATGGATTTCCTGTACTACCTTACTTCTGAAGGGCAGCAGTTCCGCAGGGCCTGCAACCTGGTGCACAACTTCACAGATGCTGTCATCCGGGAGCGGCGGCACACTCTCACTCGCCAGGGTGTTGATGACTTTCTCAAGGAGAAGGCTAAGTCTAAGACTTTGGACTTCATCGATATACTCCTGCTGGCCAAGGTGGGCTTTCTGGTGGACTTTTCTGAATTTAAGAGAAGCACGGACCGTGATGTTTAATGTCAGATAGAAGAAGTTGAATTTGCTTCAGAAGGTATTGAGGAGCCACAGAAGGCTCTCGAGGAAGGGAAATACAAGCAGAGATAGGATTTAGGAGTCAGTCTATAGACTGTCTAGAAAGAGCAAATAGTGGCAGGAGACAAAGGAGGAACTCTGTGGGGCAGGCTCTGGAGATGACAATGGAGGGACACTGCTTGGATGATGGGTCTTCATGACCCATTTCAGGTTAGACGCAGAAGCCTTCAGACCTAGTATAATTTGAGGGTCTTGCTTTGTCTTCAGGATGAAAATGGGAAAAAGCTCTCAGATGAGGACATACGAGCAGAGGCCGACACCTTCATGTTTGAGGGTGAGAACTTCAGGGTGGGATTCTGATTGTCCATGGTCATTCCATCCAAGGAATGTGCTGGGTGGACTGGGGATCAACCCATTCTGCCCTTGCTTCCCATGCCTGCTTCCTTCCTGGGTCTCAATGGAGGGCGCTGTCCATACTTTGCTGATGAAGCAGCTTAGAGACCCAAGCCTGTCTGGCTGCTCCTCAGGCCATGACACCACAGCCAGTGGCCTCTCCTGGGTCCTGTATAACCTGGCGAGGCACCCAGAATACCAGGAGCGCTGCCGACAGGAGGTGCAAGAGCTCCTGAGGGGCCGTGAGTCCGAAGAGATTGAATGGTGAGTGCCGGTCATCATGGCTTTGCTCTCTGGGGATGGGGGACAATATTTTACTGATTCTGCCATTCTTACCTGGTGAGAATAGGAACCAAGATGCGGGGCAAGTTCTAGATGGATTGGCAAGGGAAATCTTGCATTTGACCACCATCAATTCCTGTATTATATCTTTGTCTTTTCCTCCTGGGACGTTTGTCCTTTTGTTTAAGTTTCTGCATATATGGAAGAGACAAGGATTCAATCCTTTCTTTCACATATTCCAATTGGCTGAACACCTTCCACCCACCCAGTGTATCTGTGGGTCCACAAATACATGAAGTTTCTGTTAGTGCTGAATTTTCATTTATTAGTGTTTGACTCTTAAGTTTTCTGCTCTTCTATGGACCTATTTTCCTATTCTTGCTGTTGTACTATTGTTTATTAACATTTTTATTTTTTACTGTACCTTTTAATCAGTTTTATAAATTGGTAGACTGCATTTCTTTTCTTTGGTCTTTATTTAACAGTGCCAGAAGTTTATTTGAAAAGTGTGGGAGGAGGGGTAAGAGAAGAACCAGCTTTGTGGCACAAACTTGGGCCCAACAAAGGCAGGAAAGGGACAAAAGCAAAAGTAAAGGTGCACTCTATGTCCAGATGCAGGGTGGGCTACCCTGACTCTTCATTCTTTAGTGTTTTTTTTTTTTAAATTTTGAATTAAATTAAATTGATTTACTTGGTACAGGGTCTTGCTATGCAGCTCAGACTTGCAGTGATCCTCCTGTCTCAGCCTCTCCAGCGCTGGGGTTACAGAATGCAGTACTGGGCATCAAACCTGGGTCCCTGTGCTTGCCAGGGATGTGCTTAGAATGCTGAGCTATCTGCCCAGTCTTTAATTTTAAATGGACATGGCTCTTGATCAACTTTAACTATTCCCCTTAGAATAAGCTGTTGGGCTGGAGGCGAGGCTCCGTGCCACAATGCTTCCATAGAATGTACAAGGCCCTGTGTGGCTCCATGCCTAACATGAAAGGGAGGAAGAAAAGGAAAGGAAGAAAGAACTAAAGAAAGAACCAGAGAGAGTGACAAACACTTAAAAAGTGCAGCTATATTTTTATTGGATGGCCTTAAACTTATTGATTAATTTAGGAAGAGTTGGCAGCCTTATGATAGCAAGTCACCTCACTGTAGTGGGTGGGGTGAATCTCCTCTCATTGAATAACCTTAGAATCCCTTTAGGATGTTTGTTTCTTCTTTTGTTAACTTATTTTATAATTTCAGAAGAGTATCCATAAGATTTATCATTTTATTATTTATTTATTTTTAGAGAGGGACAGGAGGGGGGCCCGAGCGGGTAGTTCCCAGGGAAGCTATCTCTTCCAGGGCCTTTATTTATTTTTAAAGGTTTTAATTTTATTTATTTGTGTGTGTGTGTGTGTGTGTGTGTGTGTGTGGCCAGCTCAGCCCACCAGGGGGCAGAGCTGGCTGGCATGTGGTGCTGGGGGATTGAA